CACGAAGTTCTAGAACCCCATCTTTCACCCTATCTTGACACCCTGGCAGATCCAACTTTCCAACAAGATAATGCCCGACCACATGTTGCAAGAGCCACAATAGACTTCTTTCAACATAATGATGTCACATTGTTACCATGGCCACCAAGATCTCCCGACTTATCCCCAATTGAGCACGTGTGAGATATGATGGGTAGGAGATTGCTCAATTTGCAACGTCCTCCTCAGACTCTAAAAGCACTTCGAGAGGAGTTGGTGGTTGCCTGGAATGAGATACCACAGAAGGACATTGACCACCTGATCAGAAGCATGCCTAGACTTTTCGGATTTATATGTCACTTAGTATAGTTAACGCAGCTACTAGAGCAAGAGAGGGCATGTCACGATGTCACACTGAAAACTGTTCAGTTCTAAACTCACCTAAAACAGCAATGGTATCCTTCAGCTCTAAAGTCTAAACTAGAACAAGAAAGTTAACTAGTTAACGGCACTCTTTATAAACTGTCGAAGCTCTGCTATGTTATTTTTCAACTCAATTTTGTCAGTGTTAAAATTCTCAAGTTGTACTACTTTTCGTACGTCTATTTGACCCTTAGCTACTGCATAGTTTGCTAAGGAAGTGCTTTCGCATTGGTGAAGTGTGAAAAATATTGAGAACAACAGCTTCTAAGTATTGGTGCTGCCCGTGTAGAGAACTCTCTAAATAGTTGAATATAATGACAGTTCACTCTCTTCACTTATACAGATGCCTTGTCTATATTAAGGAAACTTTGAGCTCGTTCTGCGTAAATGTTATTAATAATTTATTTTTTTTTGTGAGGGGGGAATGCGTTTACGCACCATACCATAGCCCGAGCTACGGCGTGTGTGGGTCTCCAGGTTGTCTTGAGGAGACCACCTAATACCCACTAAACCCTAACCTCCGCGTGGCCCGACTCATCAGCGTCTCGGTAGGCCATGTGCTGTGCGTGACCTGCGGTCTGCTACAACGTCTCCTCATGTGTTTCAGTCTCTGGGAACGCCGGGTTGGTTCCCTTTACCTCGCACATTCTATCGATGTCGTTAAGCGATCATCGATAGAGGGTCTGCTAAGTTCTCTTGAAACTCTTGTTTTCGAAAAATCAAGTCCTCTCACCTATATATTGTTCCTGGTCCTGGTCCTGAAGGGTCTTGGTCCTGGTGGGTCCTGGTCGTGGCGGGTCCTGGTCCTGGTTGGTCCTGGTCCCGGTGGGTCCTGGTCCCGGTGGTTCCTGGTCCCGGTGGTTCCTGGTCCTCTGCATCCACGCCGTGGGGGGGGGGAGCAACCGCGGGTTCTCCTAGTCTTCTAGTCAAGGTTCCAGTTAGCGGGTGCCAAGTGGGACCTTGGTCTAGGGTACCTGGTTCTGCGGTTGCGAGGCCTCTCGTCCGGATCGTAGTCCATGAGGAATCGTAGCTGCTCGTTCGGGTGGTCCTGAGCTTTCTGAAAGGTCTTCTCCGCTTTTTTCCTCATGTACTCGTGAATGGTGTCCCAATACAGGTCTCTACGCAAGGTTGAGTTTCTTACGTAGGATGGTGCACTGGTGGCGATCCGGAGTAGCTTCATCTCTAGAGCAGCAAGTCGCTTGCGGTAGCTAGGGGCAGCGTACCCCCAGACCGCGGAGGCGTAAGCGAGCTGAGGTCTGGCGATGGCCTTGATCAGCCGTAGCTTGGTCGCTAGCGGCATCCGGCTGTGTCTACCCAGTAATGGGTAGAGTTGAGCCATGGCTGCTCTGGTCTTTGCGATGACAGCTTCTATGTGGGCTTTCCAAGTGAGGGACTTGTCAAATATGATCCCCACATATTTGACTTTGTCGCTCCACTGGATATCTTCGTCGAAGATGGATGCTTCGAGAGGTCTTGCAATCCTTCTTCGTTGAATGAAGATTGCCTGCGTCTTCTGGACGTTGATGCGGATTTTCCATTTCACGCACCAGACCTGGATGTGGTCCTACGGATGACCACGGGTCGTCGATGCTTGGCGGCTATAGCAGTGTCGTCTGCATATAGGGCCAGCATTGTGTCAGCTGTCTTCGGCACATCGTGAGTATAGATGTTGTAGAGCAGGGGGGCTAAGGCTGACCCCTGAGGCACGCCTGCTTCCAGCTGCCGTCTTGTTGAATGGCATGTACCAATCTTCACCGTGAACCATCTTTGTTTTAGATAGCTCTGGATCAGTTGGCACATGTTCGCATCGATTCCGGCGGCTTCCATTTTGGCGATGAGTTCATCGTGCCAAACTCGATCGAAGGCTCGTTCCACGTCCAGCAGGACGAGGCCGGTTCCAGTTCTTCTGCATGCTTCTCTAGTCGAACGGCGATAGCCTTTTCGACTACTTTGCCCATCGAGGAAACCAGGCTTATGGGCCGGTAGTTCTGGGGCAACTTCCGGTCCTTGCCTGGCTTGGTGAGCATTATAACCTGGGCTTCCCGCCACCGCCGCGGGAAGTGGTTAATTCTCAGAGTGGCATTGGCGATGTTGGTGAGCGCAGCAATGCCTTTCGAGGGAAGGTTCTTCAGCATCCTGTTGTTGATGCCGTCCCTTCCCGGCGCCTTTCTGACCTCCAACCTGCGGATGATCAGACGGATTTCCTCTGGACTGGAGGGGTGATCCGTCTCCTGGCCAGGTGGTCGACTCCTCATGATTTCGGCTGCGACTTCCACGGCCTCCTCGTGGTTGTCGTCCTCCAGCAATGCCTTTGGAGGGAAGGTTCTTCAGCATCCTGTTGTTGATGCCGTCCCTTCCCGGCGCCTTTCTGACCTCCAACCTGCGGATGATCAGACGGATTTCCTCTGGACTGGAGGGGTGATCCGTCTCCTGGCCAGGTGGTCGACTCCTCATGATTTCGGCTGCGACTTCCACGGCCTCCTCGTGGTTGTCGTCCTCGTCTTCATGGTAATTGAGTCTGCATTCGGATTCTAGCGAATCGGCGAATGCTTCGGCTTTTTCTTTACTGGAGTAGGCCAAGCCGCGTTGGCCGTGAAGAGTGGGGATCGTGGTGCACTGACGATGAAATTTTCGCTGCATAGTCCAGGCCGTACCATCCTGGGTCTCTAGTTCTGCACAGGCTGCATTCCATCTGCTGTTTTGGAGTTCCGCGAGTGCGTTCTTCAGAGCTAGCGATGCTCTGTTTCGCGCAACTCTCGAGTCCTCTGTCAACAGCTGGAGATGTTTTCGCTTGAGTCTTCTGTTCTCCCTGATCAGGTGCCTAATATGGTGCGGTGCTGGACCATTTAGGTGTCTAGGAACTGCCGTAGTCTCGGAGCGGGTGCTGTCCTCGTGCGCTCGCAGGACAGCATTCTCCAGCTCCTCTACTGCGTTGTCCAGTTCCTCCGCTGATCGGATGGTTGGAATTTGAGTGATGTTCCTTTGGACGTTGGATTTGTACAGGTTCCAGTTCGTCCGTTTGGTGCTCAAGCTATCTAGAGTTCTAGACCCTGTGCCAAGTGTTAGTAGGATCGGATTGTGGTCCGACGATCCTTCCACCAGGGTCTCTCTCTTATTAATCATACCAGATAGAAGCTGTACTTATACTCTCTTACAGACTGGGCCCAATGTTACGAGGGATGTCTTTCAAGTTTTGCATATAGAAATATAGTAGGCCGCGCGGATCGAACGTTAGTACTGAATCTTAACCCCACTCTTTAGTAAGCTTAAATTCAAAGTTTCACAACCATACGTGCAGTGTTCTCACTACAGTGAATTTTTAAGTGTCACCTTGAAGATCTCAAAGACCTCAATTCAAAAAAAATTACATGAAGAATTAGGGGTAAGAAAATTAGTTTCTCGTTGGATACCCCACCTGTTGACTGAAGAGCAGAAAGCAGCCAGGGTTAATTGGTGTCAAAAAACGCTTGATCGTTTCAATTCCGGAAACTCAAAAATTGTGTACAGCATTGTTAGTGGTGATGAATCGTGGATTTAATGTTATGACCCAGAAAATAAACGATAGTCGGCTGTTTGGGTGTTCCAAGGTGAATAAAAGCTAACAAAAGTCATCCTATCTCGAAGTGTTTCGAAAAAGATGGTCGCGACATTTGTGTCAAAAGCGGGTTATATTGCAACAATTCCTCTTAATGAGCAAAGAACTGTTACTGCGGATTGGTATACCACCATTTGTTTGCCAAAAGTCATCACCGAGCTTCGAAAAATCAACCCCGAAAGAAGAATCATCCTTCACCAAGACAATGCAAGCTCGCACACAGCCCAAAAAACAAGCCAGTATTTAACGGAAGAAAACGTGGAATCCATATAGTCGCGATCTAAGTCCTAACGATTTCTTTACTTTCCCGAAAATTAAAAACAGACTGCGTGGTCAAACGTTCCAGTGACCAGAAGAAGCAGTTGACGCATTCGAAAATACCGTTTTGGATCTTCCAGCAAACGAGTGGAATAAGTACTTCGAAAATTGGTTCGAGCGCATGCAGATGTTTATTAATCTTCGTGGAGAATACTTCGAAAAACAATAAAGTCATTTAAAACTACCTTGTTTTATTTCCATATGCAAAACTTGAAAGACATCCCTCATATGGCTCTAGACTTGTACAACCACTTGTATAAAAACCATACCAAATGTCTCTGTTTTTAAGGACAATTATGTTGAATAACACTTTCTACAGCATTGAGGAATATTTCAGTTGCGTATTTAAATGATATTCATCAACGTTTGTCTCATATTACGATTTTATATTAGTAATTTCACTTGTTATGTTTGTTTTTATATATTCATGATATATCTGAAACTCACAATTCCAATACTACTAAGTGTGTAGCCATCACATAAAAGTTACTATTATTGCTATTATTAAATTTCGTTCGATTCGGTAGTATAAAACGGCGCGGTATGCGGTTGGTAACGGTACACCGAGACCAAAAGCAAACAAATCTAATTCGAGTTCTCTTTGCGTTCTTTATAGCAAGCGCGATCCGGTTTTTTTCATTTGTGTCGCGACCGCTTCAGTATAAAAAACTTTATTTTTTTGCAGGTGAGACTCCCAAGGTTCCACAAGGGACAAGGGCTGTGATGAAAGTCGACCCCGAAAAGAAGGAATTGCCCAAAGACGTATTCAAATGGGGAGTAGTACTGAACGAGACCAAAGGAGAAGAAATAGTAGTGGAGATCAGGCCTCCACCAAATGCTCCGGTGGGCATCTGGAAGTGCTTCGTCGTAACCTCAGTAGTAGACGTTCCTGGCAGACGTGAAGAATTTGTCGTAAGTCCCTAAACATTGCAACTTAATTCATGGTTGTGATTCCATTAGATTACACACCATCACAGGTCCGAAATGTATGCAGCAAAAAGAAATCCTAGCTGAAACTCGTGAAAATAATGTTGTTGTGCCAATCGTGTCAGGAGATCAGTGCGGCGTCTCCCTGTTAACGCAATAAACGAACTTTAATCATTTGTGAATAGGAGTAGATACAGTGTTGTGTAGTCGTAGCAATATCGGCATACACGTCCATAAAAAAAATAAACATTTAAGTTAGGGAAGACAAAAAGTCAAAAAGCAAAACTGAGTTTCGACACGGTTAGTTACTGATTATGTATACTAAGTGACGTATAAATCCGAACACCCAGTTTAAATGGTTTTATTTTAATAAAAGTTTTGTGAATGTATTTATCTTACTGTAAATAACAAGTGAAAAAATTTTCAGCCTTATCAATTGGACATTCCGGTTTTTATACTGCTTTTTTTTAATTCACTAACGCTCTAAAAATCAATATTTCAGCCGCAGTAAAGAATCAACGTTGGCGGATTTTGGTTCTTGACATCCTTTACTATCGGTTACGATGCCTAGAGTACGGAGACCTGTACGATTTCGTCAAATTAGTGAGTTTGATAGGGGCCGTATAGTGGGACTTCGGGAAGCTGGACTTTCTTTTCGGGCAATTGCAGTTAGAGTGCAAAGAAGTGTAGACACTGTGGTTAGGTGTTGTCAGACATGGCTTCGAGAAGGCCGTACGCAAAGAGCAAGGGGCACTGGATGCCGCCGTAGAACAACAGACCGTGAATATCGCCGCCTAAGATTATTGGCCTTAACCGTTTCTCCACTAACAGGTCCATTGCAAATGAATGGTTTGCAGAACACGAAAGACCTATTGGCATGCGAAGTGTTTACCGACGAATGAGAAGTTTTGGCTTGTTTTCATACCGGCCACACTGGGTCCTCCCTTTAACTCGAGAACACCGACGTAATCGCCTTGAGTGGTGCAGACAACGGTCACTCTGGGATCAGGAATGGAACAGTATTGTCTTTAGAGTGACGAGTCTCGATTTTGTTTAGGCATGCACGATGGTCGTGCCAGGGTTAGAAGGCGACGTGGTGAAAGGAGGAATCCACAGTTTTTTGTTGAAAGACATGTTCATCACACTGTTGGAGTTATGGTTTGGGGCGCTATAGCTCATGGTTCCAGGTCACCTTTAATCTTCATCAGAGATAACATGAACGCGCAGCGTTATATCCACGAAGTTCTAGAACCCCATCTTTTACCCTATCTTGACACCCTGGCAGATCCAACTTTCCAACAAGATAATGCCCGACCACATGTTGCAAGAGTCACAATAGACTTCTTTCAACATAATGATGTCACATTGTTACCATGGCCACCAAGATCTCCCGACTTATCCATAATTGAGCACGTGTGTGATATGATGGGAAGGAGATTGCTCAATTTGCAACGTCCTCCTCAGACTCTAGAAGCACTTCATGAGGAGTTGGTGGTTGCCTGGAATGAGATACCACAGGAGGACATTGACCACCTGATCAGAAGCATGCCTAGGCGCGTTGGAGAATGCGTAGCACATCAGGGTGCATCCACACATTATTAAAGGTCAAAGGGCTTTCAAGCAGTGCAATCACTTTGAAATTTTTATCATTTACCTATTATGCTTCATTAAGTACTTATACAAAATTTTATTAAAATAAAACCATTTAAACTGGGTGTTCGGATTTATATGTCACTTAGTATATTTAAATATTCCAAAGAAAACAATTCTTTTAACTCTACATACTTGTAGTGTTAACGCTTTCCTTGAATCCGAACATTGAGCTAAAAATAGTAAACTGCGAGGTTCACTGAAGAAGAAATAAATCTGAAAATGAACAGCATTCATAAATAATTAATCTTTTAAATATTATCTACGCATATAGCAACGTTTACGGTGTTTCTGTTATAAGTATATTATCCTTTAATCACTATTCGCCGATTTTTTATGATAATCTAAATCCTGTTGAAAGACAAATTAATCCATTAGGCTAATTTCGACAATTTATTATATACCCGTATTTATTTTAACCAGCAAATTGTCATATAACGTATGGTAATGACAGTCAATGGAATTGAGCGTAATCCAAAATGACTGCTGATGGTTCAATAATTAGCTTTAACCTCAGAATAAGTAAACCAGAAGCTACACTGAGGCAAATTCCCCAGTGCAAGCTTGTCCTGTGATATTTTTGACAGAAAAAAGGTAGGCCAATGACGTGTTTCAAAGAGAATTCGCTTCTACATGAAAACACTACATTCTGGATATCTATAGATAAAAATAATATTAAAAAAAAAACACATACGTCAAAAGGTGAATAAATATTTGAACAAACCTATTGAAATATAGCTGAGAACAATCGCCTTATTGCACACGAAATTTCAAGACCGTATAATTTCACGAAATTCAGATGTCAGTTGGCCCCCGAGATCGTGCGATTTAACACCTCTTGACTATTTTCTTTGGGGATTTTTTAAAAGAAAAGTATATGCGAATGGTCCCTGGATAATTCAAGACCTCAAGCGCAATATTCGGACTGAAATTGCGGCCATTGACCCGATTATTCTGGGAAAAATCATTGAAAATTTTGATGTTGGCCTGTAAACGAAGCCGCGGTGGTCGCATGACTGATGTTATTTTTCATACATAAATGGCATAAACCAACCTTCATTTATCAATAAAAAAATTCGATTTCACCTCGTAAAAACCGTACAATACTTACCAAGAGTGTTCACATTTTGTGAAATTATGAATTTTAGGTTAATTATTCCAAATCCATATCATGACTTATATATTTTTGTAAGGCTTATAAAATTCAAAACGAGAAATAAATATAAAAGTGTTAAAAATGACCTAAGTTTGGTTTATAGCTAAAAATTGACATCTCATAAAAAAATCTGACTACGCCACTGAATTTTACGTGAAAACTTGTACAAGGGTCAGTTTTCAGCTTTGCGATGTGTTAAAGGATAACGGAAATAGAGGGATTCCCAAAATTTTCAAAGTCGTCAGAAACGAAGCGGGCTATGGATATTTTGTTCATACCATATTTCTTTTCACAAAAAAGTAGAACAGTATTGCAAATACCGCAACTTTCTATCTCTACTAGTAAGTGAGATACCCCGTAATATTATCATAAAAGGGACACCTCCGAAGCATAATATAACATGTGTATGTGATTCTATTTATTGACTAGGAGAGCGAACGGAGATGAATATACTAAGTGACATATAAATCCGAACACCCATTTTAAATGGTTTTATTTTAATAAAATTTTGTATAAGTACTTAATGAAGCATAATAAGTAAATGATAAAAATTTCAAAATGATTGCACTGCTTTAAAGCCCTTTGACCTTTAATAATGTGTGGATGCACCCTGATGTGCTACGCATTCTCCAACGCACCTAGGCATGCTTCTGATCAGGTGGTCAATGTCCTCCTGTGGTATCTCATTCCAGGCAACCACCAACTCCTCTCGAAGTGCTTCTAGAGTCTGAGGAGGACGTTGCAAATTGAGCAATCTCCTACCCATCATATCCCAGACGTGCTCAATTGGGGATAAGTCGGGAGATCTTGGTGGCCATGGTAACAATGTGACATCATTATGTTGAAAGAAGTCTATTGTGACTCTTGCTACATGTGGTCGGGCATTAGCTTGTTGGAAAGTTGGACCTGCCAGGGTGTCAAGATAGGGTAAAAGATGGGGTTGTAGAACTTCGTGGATATAACGCTGCGCGTTCATGTTACCTCTGATGAAGATTAAAGGTGACCTGGAACCATAAGCTATAGCACCCGAAACCATAACTCCAACAGTGTGATGAACATGTCTTTCAACAAAAAACTGTGGATTCCTCCTTTCACCACGTCGCCTTCTAACCCTGACACGACCATCGTGCATGCCTAAACAAAATCGAGACTCGTCACTAAAGACAATACTGTTCCATTCCTGATCCCAGAATGACCGTTGTCTGCACCACTCAAGGCGATTACGTCGGTGTTCTCGAGTTAAAGGGAGGACCCAGTGTGGCCGGTATGAAAACAAGCCAAAACTTCTCATTCGTCGGTAAACACTTCGCATGCCAATAGGTCTTCCGTGTTCTGCAAACCAACCATTTGCAATGGACCTGGTAGTGGAGAAACGGTCCCTTAAGGCCAATAATCTTAGGCGGCGATCTTCACGGTCTATTGTTCTACGGCGGCGTCCAGTGCCCCTTGCTCTTTGCGTACGGCATTCTCGAAGCCATGCCTGACAACACCTAACCACAGTGTCTACACTTCTTTGCACTCTAACTGCAATTGCCCGAAAAGAAAATCCAGCTTCCCGAAGTCCCACTATACGGCCCCTATCAAACTCACTAAGTTGACGAAATCGTACAGGTCGCCAACGTTGATTCTTTACTGCGGCTGAAATATTCATTTTTCGGGCGTTAGTGAATTAAAAAAAAGCAGTATATAAACCGGAATGTCCAACTGATAAGGCTGAAAATTTTTTCACTTGTTATTTACAGTAAGATAAATACATTCACCAACTTTTATTAAAATAAAACCATTTAAACTGGGTGTTCGGATTTATATGTCACTTAGTATAAATGGCATTGTTCTTTCCAGGTGCCAGATGACATCTACATAATCTTCAACCCATGGTGTCCAGACGATGACGTCTACATGGACAACGATGAAGATAGAGAGGAATACGTCATGAACGAGACAGGGAAGATCTGGTGTGGAACCTTCAAAAACCCCGAAGGAAAAATGTGGATTTTCGGACAATTCGATGAGATCTCTCTACCTGCTGCAGTCTTCCTTCTAGAAAAATCTAGATTAGCGGCGGCTAGAAGAGGATCGCCTACTATGGTTTCCAGAGCGATATCAGCAGTGGTAAATATAATTCGTTTCAATTTTTCTATCCAAATTACTCCACTACGTAAACTTCCTTCGTATGGTCTCTCAAAAAGAAAATGATTTGACGGGATTCCAGCCGCCACCACCAGCGCCTAGAAGCACAGAGCCGCCTTCCACTGGCACCTGAGCATCAATTGTCTATATTTTCGACCATTCCTTTGTCCCTGAGGTATCAAGATTGTTGAATAACGTGTGACTTTTCATAGATCTACTAACAGTTCAAAAATAGGAGTACCAAAGTTCCTCATAGCAGTCCTGATGCACTGGTATTTAGGCTTCTGCCATCTATTTTTCAGATCAATTCAGTGGACGACGATGGGCTCTTGGAAGGCAGATGGGATGGCGATTACTCAGACGGCACCTCTCCGTTCGCCTGGACAGGATCCTTGGCTATTCTGGACCAATACCTCAACAGCGGTGGACAACCGGTCAAGTACGGGCAATGTTGGGTCTTTTCTGCAGCCACGGTCACCGTTTGCAGAGCGCTGGGGCTACCTTGCAGGTCTACTACGAACTACATATCAGCTCATGACACCAATCAAACTCTCACAGTGGACAAGTAAGTTGTTACTTATATGGTCGGTCGACGCTCGAGTCAATAACCGCTTACCTCAAATTTTACATAACTGAGCTTGACATTCGGGGGCTGTTGTACGTTTAACATCTACAGGAAAGTCTAATATGTAAGTCTGTGTAATTGTGTAATTTGTTTTTTCCAAAAAGCGAGTGACCTTGAAGAATAGAAATCAGGACACTGTTGGATTGAATGGTTCTTTTGACAGCGCGATCTTGCTATATTTCTCCTCCTAATGTACGGTAAAGCAGCAGCAGCAAAATTAAAAGAAAAAAAAAAGAAAATGACTTACCGTTTGATAAGTAGTTTCAAGTACCGCCCTGTCACGTGTTGCTTATAGGCAAATACTGTTCGAAGTCGCCACCGTTTGATTCAAAAAGACAAGCTTGTAAACGTCTTCCTTAATTTACAAATAAATCTAAATCTTCTATTGCCTACCTCGGCGTTCCGACAAACGACGTTTGTACGCAATAAGCAAGATAACGCGGCGCGGTTTCAAACATCCAGGAAAACTCTGAGTATACTCGTGAGAGCAGCATCTTGAAGACACCGGAGCTACGAGGGTTGTCTTAAAATAAGTTTCCCAACGCTGTCTTTGCCGGGCGTGATGCTAGGCGATATCTGGTAACAGCATCGTGCGACTCCTCCGCCGCCGATCCCAACAAGATGCGCCTATTTGCGATGCCAAGTACCTGCTCGACAGCTATGCGCAATGGATCCCTCAATCGCCGTTACCGCCAGGGGGCCATTCAAGTATTACGTAAGCAGATTTATTACAATTATTTACCCCCATCCCCCTTGTCAGCAAAAGTAAGCAAAGCTCTTACCCCCTCCCCCCATGCTTACGTAAACATTTGTCAATTAATGTATTGTTTTTTTTAATATTATAATTATAAAGTTATAATTATATTTTGAAAAATAAGAAAATAGATTTAGGATAGCGATTATATTTAACTGATACGGTATTCAAGATAGAGTAAAGGACAAAAATATTATGTCTTACTAACATAACAAACTTATTTTAAATTTTTGGTACATATATTAAATTCAAATTAAGTCTTCAGTCCATGAAACCTGAATCCATGATTCAAGTTTTCAATGACATTGGATTGCTTCGATTGCTGCTCAGTGTTGTGAGTTTGCTCGCTTTCATCGGATTTTGGAATGTCTACGTCGTTCTCATCGAGCCATTCAAGATCGTGGTGCTCTAAATTTTGAATAATGCACATCAGTTCATTAGCACGACGAGCAGCGACTCGTACAGGTCTAACTTTCCTATCAGTGTGCGTGTTTACTTTTTTATGGATATTTTCGATGTGACGACTTAGTGACTTGACGGAAGCATGATAAAGACCACACGTTTTGCATGTTCGACTTGATAGCCTCAATTTTACAGTCGGACAAAAATAATCGTAGGGCATTTGCAGGAAATCTTTGAGTGCAGCACTTAAGCGTAGAGCTAAATTGACTGGAAGATTAAGAAATTGCCCTCCTTCATCCAAAACCAAGTCGTCAACTATTTGTTTTAGTTTTACAGGTGGTGGAAGAAACCTATTATCTAGTAATCTAAATAGGCCACTTCTTGGACGACAGTATTCTGTATTTCTACATTTTACAAAGCAAGTATTGGCTATCACGCGCATGTTCTGAATACCATTTAATGTCTGGAAAATCAGGAAGATCTTGTTCACCTGCCCCAACATATTTTGCATTAACATTATAGCCATCAATTTCGATTGAACTTCATACTTCAGCTAATACATTTCCTGCAAATTCGAAATAAGGTCTTTCTAAATGTTCATCAATTGTAACGCCACGTTCATCCAAATGAGACCCAAAATGGTCATGAGGCAATATTAAACCAGCCAGTTCCCGACTAAGAGGAGCCATTCTGCGCTCTACTCTGTTATACGCACTTCTTCCAGGAGCATTGGTAGCTAAAAACAATGCATCGAGATCATGTCGCTTAAAGTATTGTATAGCAAACCCTATGACTTTTTGATAACGTGGATATTCATCTGGCCCTCCATCAACCGTCATGATTACCAATGGTTTTACTAGTCCATGGTCAGTTTTAGCTAATGGTCGAAGCTCTTCAAGTTCGAGAAGCGTCTCGAAATCCTGAGCATGAGTATTAGCAGTAGATGAACTATGCTTTCCACTTCAAATACCGATGTATGTTGGTCCAGAATATACAACGGCTTGCGGTTGTCCCAGCATATTGGAAGTGATTTTGATACCAGCATAAACAGATGGTATTAATTTATGACGCTCAGCGACTATCCAATCGTGATCAGGGAATTTGATTCTATATTGCATGTGCATTAGAATAGGTGCTTGCTTATTTGCCGCAGTTACGCCAATAGGGACTCGAGCTTTATCATCTTGAGATATGAAAAATACTTGATCTGGTCCAAGTATGGATGCTATGTTCTCTAAATAATGGATTGATGTTTCAGCGAACTTGCTATCTAAGTGGCTCTTGTGGTGATCAGTTTGAGCCTGAATGAGCATGTCGATACATGTCTTCGTCCCTCTGCAGAATTAGATTTTCTGGGAATCAAACGAAGATATGTTCCACTGCGACTAATGTCAGATCCTATTTTACGTAATCCTTGTGTGAGTTCATCAAGAGTTTTTACGCTGTGAATTGATTCCGTTCGTCTTCTATCATCTGCTGCACTCCCAAATAAAGCTATATCCGCGATTGTTTTCAATAGTGAATGTTGATTGCTTTCAAGATTAGGACGTCCCACTGAAACCCTCAGAGATAGTCTTTTTTTTATTTCTGGATTTTCATGAAAAATATCTTCTAACTTTCTTTTCGTACCATCCCTGTGTTTCTTCTGGACAACCGCGTTTTGAACCTTCCTGTTTAAAGACTGTTTTGCTGGTTTTATTTCCTCGCGCAACTTAATGATCTGTTTATCAACTTCAGCACGGCTTGGCATAGTATCTCTGGCAGAATATAAAGCATTCAGATTTTTTTGGAGTAGAGCAATCTTATTTTTCATAGCTTCCTGAGAAGGTTTTGCTCTCTGTTTATCTGTATTTTCATTAATTTCGCATTGCTGTTGTGATTCATTACCGGGTTTTCTTTTATCTTCTTCCTCTTTTTTTAATATTTGAAGCTGACTGTATAATTTGTGTTTTTTCTGCAGGTATACAGGTCGTCTAAAAATATAAACTTTTTATGACTTCTGCTAAAGATTCTCTTATTAAGCTACATACATACAAAGTACGGCAATATATATGGTAAATACAAAAACCCTATGGCTTTAAATCTAATATGTTTAAACGAGCAATTCGTCCGGTCACAAAATACAGGGTGTTAGTTTTCTGTATATATGTATAAAACTAACATCCTGTACTTTGTGACCAATTGACGGAATCAATCATAAGAAATAAATCTATAATATAATGAATATTACCTCTATACTTAGGCCATAATATTTTCTAATCAGTAAAGAGAAACTTTTTGGCGATTTCTAACATTTCTAGTACTCATAGGTACCTAAAATTCTTCTTCGATTCTCTTAGATACAATAATATCTAGTTCCTTGTCGGATGTTGCTTGTAATTTATAATTTCGCCACACTTCGTTAACTAACTTTTGTACATTTTGTACTTTCGTACTTGTATGAGATTTTTAAAACTTTCAAACAATTTTCGGTATAACTTGGATTAGTCTATGTGAAACGACATCTTATTTAAACATTAAACTTTGGCTAATGGAAGCAATGGTAACACAAATGTTAACTTGCTTTACTATGCTTACAATACGTCTACTCGCTTTAGTATCTAAACGAAACAATACACTGATAGAGGAAATTTAGACAAGTGAACACCGCGCGGTAATTCTCCTACTCGGTTCTAAAGCGAGTAGGGGAATTACCGCGCGCTGTTCACTAAACGTATGCATTATTTGCGGGAATCCCCGAAAATGCGTTTCGTTTTCAAGCAAAGACAATGTGAGGGTTGCCATTCGTGTAAAAAAAGTAAATAACTACCGATGACGTAATCATCATTTAGAGTCCCCTACCCCCCGTGTATAAGCATTGAACATGTGCTCAAATGGTGGAGAGTGTGGAAGTTATGGCGAACATTGAGCAAATCTTGCTCGAAGAAAAGCTGAGACGGGCAATCCAAAACCAGACTGCACCACAACAATGCGCATCCTCATATCTAACAACAATGTGGGAGCCTTATTTCTGAAACAACCCTCGTATCATCAAATCGACAAGTTCGTTACTGTTTAGGTATTCTTCATATCCGATTTATAAACAAACAGCTGCCGTTTACCTACACGGATTGGTTTGACGCGTTGTATCTTTTCACTAACCTTTTGCTGGAGCCAGAGCCGGATTTAATATAGCAAATTTACGAGAAATAGGCGCTCTGTGAATGGAAGTCCCAACCTTGAAAATAGCTTGTTACTAAAAAATTGCAGCGTGTTTGTTATGAATTTTTTTCCAGATATTTTGACGTGTTTGGCAACAAGATAGAGGAGAAGCAAGCTGACTCCTGCTGGAACTTCCACGTCTGGAATGACGTATGGATGGCTAGGCCCGATCTCAAGGATCCCTTCTACAACGGATGGCAAGTAATCGATGCTACACCACAGGTAAATGTCAAATCATTTTCTCGGCAAACTATCTTCAGTATCGCGTTTAAACAAAGTCCTTAAAAAAACTCTTTACGAAAACTTGTTCCTTGAGCCTGGATTTCTATCCACAACCAAGGCTAATTTTGATATGCTTTCTATTGTTTTTGATGACTGTATATAAAATGAATTTCCAGGAAGCTAGTGACTCTGTGATGTGCTGCGGACCGGCTTCAGCAGCGGCTGTGAAAAGAGGTGAAACGGGGTTCCTGTATGATACTCCATTCGTATTTTCCGAAGTGAATGCTGACATAATCCATTACCAAGAAGATCAGGAGGCAGACACAGAATGGAGGCTGCTCTCGGTCAATCCTAAACAGTAAGTATTGGGCTCTATTTCCCTGCACGTTTGCCATTATAACTAATGGGTGATTTTTTGCTAGTATCAATTCAATTCAATTCAATTCAATTATTTATTTGTGTTAAGTACACCAGCGTGTTTACACAAGTCAAAAGAAACAAAAAATTAATACAAAAAGCAGTCTGACAAAAGACTGATGTTCAAATTAGACAGAAAAACATCAACTTATGACAGTATGATTCAATAAAAGCATATACAGCAAGTCCATATAAGTTGTAAAAACAGGAGGACATATATTCATACATAGATACACGCATATTCATTTAACCACAATACGTATGTTTACTTCTACACACAAACACATATATACATATATACACATATACACATATATACGTTTAAATGGTAAGACATATGAAATGTTGATATAAAAATTTACCAGATAACTTAGTAGAAAGTTCAAGGAGCCTAGAGGATCCCAGGTGTAGGAACACTGTTATATTTGCTAACAATCCGACAAGTCTGAAAAATTATTACTCAAATACTCGTTGATCGAGTAAAATGCTTTAGTAGTCAGATAAGCATTAATTTTATTTTTAAAAACTTTCGCATCCAGTTTCTTTATACGGTCTGGCAACAGGTTATAAAAAACTATCCCATAATAGTTTGTGCCATTCCTGATGGTTTGGAGACGGCTATGAGGTACTAAGATTTTATCCATATTTCTGGTTCTATAACTGTGGACATCACTGTGGGTGGTATATTGGCTCAGGTTAGTCTTTATATACATCAGACATGTGAAGATGTGAAGAGAAGGTACTGTCATGATTTTCAATTCTATAAAAGCTTCCTTGCAAGGTTCCGTGTATTTGAGGCCAGCAATGTACCGCAAGCAACGTCGTTGTAATCCAAAAACTTTTGACGAATGGGCCGAGTGACCCCAGTTTAACAATGCGTATGAAATTCTTGATTGAAAGTAGGAATAATATGTTAGAAGAAGAACTGACTGAGAGACATTTTGTTTCAAGTTCCTTATCAAATATATATATTTTGCTAGTGCATCGAGAACATGGATTACGTGAGTTTCCCACGACAAGTGTTCATCAATGTAGACTCCTAGTAACTTCACGGACTTTAGTGTATCAGTGTCGTGCTGCCTCAAGCTAAGAATAATCATCTGAGACTTGGTTTCATTGATGGTCAACTTATTAGCGATTAACCAGTTTGCTAGTTTTCTTTTATGAGCCTCAGAGTCGGATATCAATGAGGCTAAAGAGGCATTGCTATTCATCAAGGTAGTGTCATCAGCGAATAGGATTAAGTTATTATTCACATTATAGTTAGTCATATCATTGACGTAAATTAAAAATAAAATAGGTCCCAATACCGAGCCTTGCGGTACCCCGTGAGCAGGGACTAACTGTGAGGATGATGAACCTTTAAAGAATACAAATTGGCGTCGATTACTCAAGTAAGATTTAATCATTGCAGTGGATGCTTCATGAAAGTTATAAAAAGGGAGCTTTTCCAACAGGATGTCGTGTTGAACACAATCAAAAGCTTTGGACAAGTCTAACAAACATGCTGCGCCATATAGGTTGTTTTCAAAAGTCTCGTTCACAAACTGAATAAAACTGTTAATAGCTGATGTGGTGGAACTATTTTTCCTAAAACCAAACTGTGTTGAGCAAAATAAATTATTAGCCTCAAAGTATTCATTAATTTGATCTTTCAACAATGATTCCAAAATTTTCGCAAAAATAGGTATTAAGGAAATGGGCCTGTAGTTGCATAACTCTTCAGTATCCCCTTGTTTGAAAATGGGTATAATTTTAGATAGTTTGAAAAAATCCGGAAAAGTATGTTTTTGGCAACACTGTTTTTGACAGATGACGCGTGAATCGTGTCTTGTATCATTGTCAAACTTGTTCAGCTTGGTCTATAACTTAACCACGAATCGACTTACGAACAAACAACGCTTGCAAATTATTGAATTTTACTATCAAAATTCATGCTCGGTTAAGAGAGTGCATCGAGCATTGCTTCCAATTTATGGGCAATTTGGTCGGCCTACTGAGCGAGCTATTCGGAAGCTTGTGACTAAATTTCGAACCCAGTTTACATTATTGGACATTAAACCACCAATACGCACACGTAGAATGAGGACTGAAGAAAATATTGCAGCTGTATCCGCCAGTGTTAGTGATGACCGTGAAATGGCAATTCGCCGCCGTTCGCAGCAATTGGGCCTCGGTTACTCCACTACGTGGACAATTTTGCGACAGGATTTGGGTGTAAAACCTTATAAGATACAGCTGGTGCAAGAATTGAAGCCACACGACCTTCCACAACGTTTCCAATTTGGTGAATGGGCGCTGGCAAAGTTGGAGGAAGATCCACATTTTTATCGAAAAATTGTGTTCAGCGACGAATCTCATTTCTGGTTGAATGGGTACGTTAACAAGCAAAATTGCCGCATCTGGAGTGAAGACCAGCCAGAAGCATTGCAAGAGCTAGCCATGCATCCTGAAAAAATCACTGTTTGGTGTGGATTATGGGCCGGTGGCATCATCGGGCCGTACGTCTTCAAAGACGACAATGGCCGGAACGTAACTGTGAATGGCGAGCGCTACCGTGCGATGATAACAAACTTTTTTTTGTCCAAAATGGAAAAGCTGGACTTGGCTGACATGTGGTTTCAACAAGACGGTGCCACATGCCACAACGCACACGAAACATGGCCCTATTGAGAGGCGAGTTCGGTGAACAGTTTGGGGCCCGTCAGTTGGCCGCCTACATCGTATGATTTAACGCCGTTGGACTATTTCTTGTGGGGCCATGTTAAGGCTAATGTCTACAGGGATAAACCAGCAACGATTGACGCACTGGAAGCCAATATTGAAGCATTTATTCGTGAGATACCGGCCGATATGTTGGAGAGATTGTGCCAAAATTGGACCTTGCGCATGGGCCATCTAAAGCGGAGCCCCGGCCGTTCTATCGACTCAAATAAAGATTTAATCGTTTTTTCAGATTTTTTGTGTTTTTTTTTTAAATCAAATCCTATACCTCTTACAAAATCACCCGTTTCCGTTTCCTTACAGTGTAGGAAGGAAGATCGTAACAAAACAACCCGGCCCCACCGACGAAAAGACGGACTTGTCGGACATGATGGACATAACGTCGCTTTTCAAAAACAAAGAAGGCACTGAAGACGAAAGATTGTCATTCTACAATGCCCGAAGGAGTGCTCCAACGTCTCCGGAGCTGTACAGTGATGTCATGGCAAAAGTTGTTGAGGATGTGTCTTTTCAATTGGTGGACATCGATAGTGTGCCATACGGTGACGATTTTGTAGTCGTATTGAAGGTAATTGTAAATTCTGACATCCTTTCAACCCCATTTTATTCATTAAATCATTTGAAGGTTCTCTGCAGAAAAACTAGTAAGCTGAAGCATTCAATACAAGATACAGGGTTTGTCCGGAAAGTAATAGGACTGAATCGATTTAAAAAAGTTTATTGAGCCAATCGTTTCAATTCTTTAAAAACTTCCAAAATGGGCTCCTTCTGCGTCGATGCAGATTTAGAAACCTGCTGACATGGTGCAAGGTTTTGATATTTTTTGCATCTAATTCATTTTCAAATATATTTTAAACATCTTTTGATCTTGTAGCTGTCATTTCTTTTTGTTTTACCCATTAAAATAATCCGCAACGACAAAAACGATGTGCCGTCAAACGAAACGTTTGTAGGCTAGACAACTATATTTCACCTCCACATATTTAGAACACAGTGACAGAATGCATCATGAAAGTATTCCAAAGAATTAACTGTCACTTCCAGATTCATAATGAAGCCAGTGAAGCTAGAACAATCAAAGCAGTCCTATCAGCAAGCTCGATACTCTACAACGGTGGCAGTAATAAAGACATTAAGAAATCCAGAGGGACGTTTAAGCTGGAAGCAGGAAAAAGCAACGTGGTGTCATTGAAGGTAAATTTATCAAACTAACGAATACATAATCCACTAAACAAATTAACTTAACTCCTTAACAGGAATAAGTTATAACAACACTTATCACTTATTCATCGTCGTGGTTCGCGGTCACGTCGACTATTCGCTCTTTCTTTTCAGTCCCTGCCTTTATACCTGTTGTTCTTTCAGAAAATGTATGCTACAGTTGTTCTGGACGCTCTAGACTAAGCAGTTTATCGCGTACAGATGGCGCTGTTTAGTTGTTCTCTGCGTAGCGGCGATTATTTATTACTGCCTCCAACAGATGGCGTTCGCGACAGCGCAACGCTCCTCATTACTCTCGACAAAAGATGACTCTGGAACTTTCCTTTTCATAAACAACTACGTTTGAAATATCGAAGCTAATCTGCGCTGAAACAGCAGCCAGAACGTAAAAAAGGAAGAAAATCCATTGAAATACCTGTCACATGTTTCGCTCGTAAATACTGCTGAAGTTATCGCCATTCAATTTAGAAACACAAGTTTGTAATCTTGTTCCAAATTTTGCAACATTTGGAGATATGTAGGCACTCTACTGTGTCCACCTCGACAGCTTTTGCACGGTATATACAAACATATGCAGCTCAGGACGTAAACATCCACGACGATGCTCGAGAAATATTAGTAGAGGTTTGTTATCTTCCTCCTAACTTTGGAACATTTGGGAATGTCCACTGTGTCCACTCGACGGCTTTTGCATGGTATAAACAAACCTATGCAGCTCAGGACAGAAACATCTAGGACAATGCTTGAGAAATATCAGTAGAAGTTTGTTAATTATCTTCCTAAATTTGCAACATTTGGGAATGTACAGGTACTCTATTGTATCCACCTGGACGACTCTTGCACGGTATAAACAAACCTATGCAGCTCAGGACAGAAACATCTAGGACAACGCTGAAGGAATATCACTAGAAGTTTGTCATTTTCTCTCTAACTTTGCAACATTTGGGGATGTCTAGGTACTCTACTGTGTCCACTTCGATGACTCTTGCACGGTATAAACAAACCTATGCAGCTCAGGACGGAAACGTCCAAGACAACGCTGAAGGAATACCATTAGAAGTGTGTCATTTCCTTTCTAACTTTGCAACATATGGGGATGTTTAGGTACTCTACTGTGTCCACCTCGATGGCTTTTGCATGGTATAAACAAACTTATGCAGCTCAGGATGGAAACATCCAGGAAGATGCTCGAGAAACATTAGTAGAGGTTTGTCATCTTCCTCCTAACTTTGAAACATTTGGGGATGTCCACTGTGTCCACCTCGACGGCTTTTGCATGGTATAAACAAACCTATGCAGCTCAGGACAGAAACATCTAGGACAACGCTTAAGAAATATCTGTAGAAGTTTGTTAATTATCTTTCTAAATTTGCAACATTTGGGAATGTACAGGTACTCTATTGTATCCACCTCGACGACCCTTGCACGGTATAAACAAACCTATGCAGCTCAGGACGGAAACGTCCAAGACAACGCTGGAGGAATATCAGTAGAAGTTCTCATCTTCTTTCTAACTTTGCAACATATAGGGATGTCTAGGTACTCTACTGTGTCCACCTCGATGGCTTTTGCATCGTATAAAAAAACCTATGCAGCTCAGAACGGAAACGTCCAAGACATCGCTGGAGGAATATCAGTCGAAGTTTGTCATCTTCTTTCTAACTTTGCAGCATATGGGGATGTCTAGGTACTCTACTGTGTCCACCTCGATGGCTTTTGCATGGTATAAACAAACCTATGCAGCTCAGGACAGAAACGTCCAAGACAACGCTGGAGGAATATCAGTAGAAGTTTGTCATCTTCTTTCTAACTTTGCAACATTTGGGGATATCTAGGTACTCTACTGAGTTCACCTCGACGACTCTTGCACGGTATAAACAAACCTATGCAGCTCAGGACGGAAACGTCCAAGACAACGCTGAAGGAATACCAGTAGAAGTTTGTCATTTTCTCTCTAACTTTGCAACATTTAGGGATGTCTAGGTACTCTCCTGTGTCCACCTCGACGGCTTTTGCATGGTATAAACAAACATATGCAGCTCAGGACAGAAACATCTAAGACAACGCTTGAGAAATATCAGTAGCCGTTTGTTAATTATCGTCCTAAATTTGCAACATTTGGGAATGTACAGGTACTCTATTGTATCCACCTCGACGACTCTTGCACAGTATAAACAAACCTATGCAGCTCAGGATGGAAACGTCCAAGACAACGCTGAAGGAATACCAGTAGAAGTTTGTCATTTCCTTTCTAACTTTGCAACATTTGGGGATGTATAGGTACTCTACTGTGTCCACCTCGACGACTCTTGCACGGTATAAACAAACCTATGCAGCTCAGGACGGAAACGTCCAAGAATATCAGTAGAAGTTCTCATCTTCTTTCTAACTTTGCAACATATAGGGATGTCTAGGTACTCTACTCTGTCCACCTCGACGACTCTTGTACGGTATAAACAAACCTATGCTTCTCAGGACGGAAACGTCCAAGATAACGCTGGAGGAATATCAGTGGAAGTTTGTCATCTTCTTTCTAGCTTTGCAACATTTGGGGATGTCTAGGTACTCTACTGTGTCTACCTCGACGACTCTTGCACGGTATAAACAAAACTATGCAGCTCAGGATGGAAACGTCCAAGACAACGCTGAAGGAATATCAGTAGAAGTTTGTCATTTCCTTTCTAACTTTGCAACATTTGGGGATGTCTAGGTACTCTACTGAGTTCACCTCGACGACTCTTGCACGGTATAAACAAACCTATGCAGCTCAGGACGGAAACGACCAACACAACGCTGGAGGAATGTCAGTAGAAGCTTGTCATCTTCTTTCTAACTTTGCAACATATAGGGATGTCTAGGTACTCTACTGTGTCCACCTCGATGGCTTTTGCATGGTATAAACAAACCTATGAAGCTCAGGATGGAAACACCCAGCAAAACCCTTGAGAAATATCGGTAGGGCCTTGAATACAGTGACCGTAAACTAACATCAAATTGGTAACTCCGTTATTGCTATTAGAATTTGCCAATTTCCGTTTGTGGATAAACAAATAGGTTAAACTATACACCGCACGGCAGTTGATTTGGATACTGATGTTTGTCGCACCTTCTCTCGCTAGATGCTTTTTTTAACTTAATGTTTCGGATATTCAAAGCTTTGGTATATGTGCCGTATCTTTTCGTTCGTTTTTTTTTTCTAATTTAATGGCTCTGTCATTTTAAAGCTTTGGTGTTGCTAGAAAAATGTACTTATTGTCAAATGAACTATACGCTGTGTCCCAACCCTATGTCACAGATACAATTATTTTTCAGATTAACATCATGTCATGTACTCATTAGTCGTTACTTGCAGAATGTTTTTTCTGTGGAAAGATCGGAAGATATCATTGAAAAATGTGCTGAAAGATATAACTTTGCGTGGAAGTGGGAATAGTAGCTCTATATAGGGTGATTTAACAAATAATGGCAATATATTCAGAACAATAGAGCCAAAAGTAACATACATAATATACCAATACCAAAACACAAAGTATTGTAAATCTCTACGCTACTGACGACGTTGAAAGGGGATTGAACTTTAACACTCTTTACCCGGATCTTACTTCAAATATTAAAAAAAAAATTCTCAGGAGATACCACTTAGGCATAATTGAATACCTCATTGAGAAAAACTAGTGGCGAAGAGAATATTGTTCTTTCTCCTGAAATGGTTTGAAGTATCTTAGTTTTACGCCATTTGTGTGATTGAAGCACACTTTCGTATGGATTGATTCAGCTATTCATAGTATATGTCCAACATTTCATATTAACGGCTCCAAACATATATTTTTGCCAATTTACTGTGGCTAGAGCTTTGGGTACCGGTGAGACACCTTCATACATCTACAAAACGGCAAATCTTAGGCAACCACAATTACGCGACCGTGTATGGAGGGCGTACGCGACATTCGACACACTTTAAGAGGAATCGACCGCCATCAAGCAAGCTTAGATTGAATGGCTTCTGAAATTCGTCGCTTGCCAAAAAAAAATTGGTTATAAATTTTTCATAAATTAGTTGCAAGTGTTATTATAAATTAGTGTAAGAGTAATAAATTAGTCCTTAAACAGTAAAAGCACTATTATCGTTACAATACTCCGTATCTCGGTAGTTTATGGAATCTTTCTGTGTTATTTATGGACTTGGTTTGTGTCCTAGACACAATGCCACTATTTTTCAATCTCACTGTGTACTATAACTCTGTTATGACAAAAGATAGATAGATACTATTTTTGTGATAGGTCTCAGCGGAAGATTATGTAGAAAAGCTGGTGGACCACGGTTTGGTGAAGATTTACGCTATCGTAAGCGTGGAGGAAACCAAACAAATATGGAGTGGAGAAGATGACTTCAACATGACAATGCCTGGCGTTTCTATCGACGTTGGAGGAGACTGCAGAGTTGGGGAAGGATGCGAAATTCAGTTCAAGTAAGGATCAAGTAGCGATAGTAATTACAATAAGATTATGCGTTTTTTCTTTTACTTCTCACATTTAAACATAATCGTGAAACTTTTCGCATTTTAAATATGAATTTTTTTGAAAACAAATCTTCATCCAACACTCAGTTTTTACAAATTATATAGTAACAAAGTTCTCTTAATCTGTGTATAGAACACTGGCCTCGTGAGCAATTAACAATATTTAAAGTGCGAATTTGAACAAGAATAAATTCAACAATTCAGGTGACTTTTGAATATTTTTACAAAATTTCTTCTTTGCACTATGTGATAGAATATTATATGTGTTCACAGCATCAATGTTATTTAATCCTGTATTAGGTCTAGAATATATTTGATACTTGATACTTTCTCTTCATTGACTTTATCTATTCTTATACAAAAATTTTTCATCTATTTTATTCCCCAGTTTTAAAATTAGATATTTTGTTTTATCGACGTTGACTTTTTATTCACTTTTATTCACACAGAGCCTGCACATTATTTCCGTTATAGAAAAGAACTGTGTCGTCATCAAAACTAAATCGCCTTGCATCAAGATTAGTACTTTTCAGAATAAGAACATTTATAGAATATAATAGTGGCCCCAAAACCGACCCCTGGGGGACTCCATAGTCACTAAATAACCACTCACTACTAATTCCATATATTGTTTCCTGTTAAGTAAATAAGTTTTTACTAAATTATACCTAGTACCCCTACATCCATATTTTGTAATAATTATATTGTATACAGGGTGTCCGCAAAGTTGGGGTTTTCCTTTTCAGAAACAACTACCCATGAAATAACAAAGGTAATGTGTAGTGAAACGAGGGCAACCAAGTGAAAAAGAATAAAGGAAAAAGTACTCACTCTCCAGTTGACGAGAAGGGCTAAGTACGTCTCTGCCCGAAATCATACCGCTCCAACAGAAAATGAAATCAGCTGATGCGCTACCGAGCAGACGCCGGCGGTGGTGCAGACCACGAACAGAGGTAACAAATATGACCATCGTGCACAAACCACATTGATTGTCTTACACTTAATGGCACATCTTCTAACAAGGAAGGCAAAATGTTGCGTAAAAAGTCTAGGTATTGCATCCCGTCCAATCGATTTGGGAGAATAAATGGTCCAATGAGCATACCGTTCACCATGCCAGCCCAAACATTCACCGAAAATGTTTGTTGAAAATGTGCCCGAAGGACAGCGTGCGGATTTTCTACTGACCAAACATGAGTGTTATTCACCCCATTACGCGTGAACGTAGATTCGTCTGTCACCAATATGCACGTCAAAAAGTCCGGATTATTGTCATGTTGATGCAACAACCACTCACAAAACCGCACTCTAGCTGGAAAATCGTCAGGTTGAAGGGCTTGTACACGTTGGACGTGAAACGGATACAGCCCCTCTTCACGCAGCGTTTGCCACACTTTAGTTTTTGATACTTGCACTTCTCTAGCCACGTCTCTAGTGCTTGTTGTTTTTTGAAACGCAATCGATTATACGGGTTCGTTTACTTCTACACGCGTGACCGTAACCGTCGGTTGAAGGTTGCATACTGACCTGACACACTGACCCCGACCCAGTTCTGTCGTCGGGTTGAGCTAGTGTCCTAGTACTATTCGGGGATCTCGCGAGTCGCGGCTACAGGACGGTATTCAGATATTTTTGATGTTGCAGAGCCCTTTATCTCGTTTCCCTTAAGACATTGGTGTATATGGTACTAAGAAAAATTGCTTATGTTTTCAAGATCTACACGTCGTGTAAAGGAAAACCCCAACTTTGCGGACACCCTGTATATTTAATAAAACATAAAAACATACAAAATGTATTTTGCAATCTGCAGCTCTGGGAAGTAAAGTGACTTGTGCTCCTGGTGAAGAATCGTACAATTCCTGGCATTTTTAGCTAACAGAAATATTTTTTTCCACAGATTCAAGAATCCGCTGCGAGTTCCACTGGTTCAGTGTTCTTATACGGTAGAAGGTCCTGGCCTAGCCAAACCTACAACCAAACCTTTCAGAGACGTTGAACCGCACGAAGAAGTCACAATAAAGGAAGTGTTTACAGCAAAAAAGAAAGGAGCCAGGAAGGTTGTGTGTAATTTCACTTCTAAACAGCTGAGGAATATCAGTGGTGGTACAAAAATTGTTGTAGAATAAAAAACATATAACGGCAAGGATATTACATAACTTGAAAAGTGACAGTCTGTCATTTTTTTGACAATATGTAGGTGGACATTTTATATGCGGATACATTAATTCTCATGTATCAAAAATAAGCTATCCGATATAGACAGAGTTGGTTATGCCAAACTGAGTTCAAATAAAATCATGCGAATACTGCTGTCGTAACTGAGGTCTATCCTCTCTCTATACATATTTAGACAATTGATAGACCGTATTGATTGGCCTAACTTAGCATTGCTATGTAATTTCATTCATTGTTCTTCCCCGAAACAAGCTCACACTTTCATTGTGTTCTAATAACAGATATCATTGTATATATTTCTGGTTGACCTGATCAATCTATGTTTTCAAAGATCATGCAATAATGCGTCAAAACTGACGATTTCAAGGTGTGAAGTTTTTCCTCTTCTTTCCTCGAATTATTTTTATTTTTGAGTGGATATTTACCTCAAGTAAGCGTAATTTTTAGAATCTAATACAAAGCATGATTTAGAAATATATTTCGTTCATTTTGCTTTTCACGTTAGTAATCACAGTGTTTAGGCTTAAAATCTAGAAAATATTTAACATTTTGTGTAAAACAATGGTTAACTAAACATAATTCTTACGAGCCTGCAAAAAATTTATTGTTTATTATTAGTATATTACTCTATTTTTGTGTATTGTTATGTGTATATAATAGTAGGAATATGTGTTTTTTAATATTTTGTATAAAAGCTATAATAAAACATGCTTCAGAAATACATCTTTTACCGTTTATTTTCCACGTCAATAATTTATTAATACTGAAACGCCCTCGTATAGCTGAGACCTTGAGTAGCTTATATACCGGTCTGGAATCACCTGCTGCATCTAAACCACTTCCATGGAAGATCGAACACGCTGGAATGTTTCTGGACGCGTCGACAGGTAAATAAATACCAGACCAGATGTCGGAGTCAGTCAGTCACAGTCGAGACAAACGAACAATGCGGAATGCCGTAGTCCAGTCAGCATGGTCGTAAATTGTCATAAATTAGTATACGTATAAAAGTAATAAATTAGACTCTGGACAGTGTTTTCGTTAAAGAATTTCAGCTTGGTATCTGCCCTACAATTCTTAAATTGGTATATTTTTGTTTTTCAAAGTGACTTAGTTTTTGGTAGGGCGGTCGAATAGGGATTTTGGGGTTTTACTAGAACGCGGCAAATTAAGATTGCATCCATCCTATTCAGTACCTTCACCATACAGGAGGTACGTCTAGGGCAGCCGGACAGAATAGTAAAAAAAATCGATGATAATCGAAGATAAGGTGGGTGAATTACATGCTGAAAGGTGTGTATTTCAACAATCCGACGATTACTTTAATTCAATACCACAAAGTAATGGTCGTACACCACTGTACTTGTTTGACAAAGCCAGGTTGAGGGTTGTGCCACATGATGTCAATCTAAGAAACAAGAATATGATAAGACTTCCACGTCTTGTCACTCTCAATATTTTAGTAGCATTTTAAAGAAATAACATATTTTTCCATCTTGATCATCAATCATATTTGAATGCGATGTCAGTAGCAAGCGGTATGATCTGACCTTTCGACCCAAAATTTTCCGAATTAAATTAGGTGGATTAACGAAACAAACGACTTGTACTCGAAGAATCCGCTTAAAAGGTTATATGGGTTACGAGAAGACCGGAGAATTAATTATTGTTAATGATATTATCAGATGTCAGAGTTACGAACTGAATGCAGAAACAGTGCCTTTGAAACAGTTTGCACTGGGGAATGCCTTTGTTACAGAACGTGCTTTTTTCACGTGTTAAATTAATTATTTACAACTAAAGTGCTATTGGATAGTTAGGACAAACATACAAAATCTGAAGTGGTTGCTCGAAATGTACAGTATATTCAGATAAGAGATAGACCGGATGTAAACAAAAGGTTCGGGTGATTTTCACGCTAACGCCGCCGTCTCGACGTAAAACAGGAGCCCTCATTGGTCAATTCGCAATTAAATGCCTATGCCGAGCGGCAGAGCAGTCGTATCAAGGCAGAGGCACATTCAGGTTCAGACGTGTTACGTATGTCGTGTGCATCATTGCAATTTGATATTTCTTTGGACGTTTTCGTTTGTTATCTTATTAAGTTGTTGAGTTTGTCGTTGTTATTGTTATACCTTGTTATTGATTGTTATTGTTATCAACTGCTTGCGCAAAATGCCCAGTAGTACAGATACTGCCGATGAAGTTGTAAACTCCTGTAGTCCACCTAGGAAACGCTCTAAAAAAAGACACCTGAGTGCAGAAATGAAAGAGGTCATTTTAAATATATATAAGATCGAGCGCGAGGAGAACGAGGCATCAACCATCAAAGAAATTGTTGTGAAGGTTTCTCACAAAGTTGGGGTGTGTCGCGCATCAGTGTTTAATGTGTTAAGACAATACAAAAAAAATCACACCTTTTCTGAGCCAATGACCAGTAAACATCGCAAAAGTATTGTTAAATCATTGGATGAAGCTGATAAGCATGCGATTAGGAGGAAAGTGCATGAATTCTTCTTTAGGAATGAAATACCTACTATAGATAAAGTACTGCAGGAGGTAAATGGAGATACAACGTTGCCAAATTTCAACTCTCCATGCGTTACTGAAGCATTTAAATTTCAAATGGAAAAAACGGGGTCGTAATAGTTTACTACTGGATAGAGAAGAAATTGTGCTATGGAGGAGGGATTATTTAACAAAAATTGAGAAATATAGAAATCAAAACAGGAAGATTTATTACCTTGATGAAACGTGGGTAAACGCAGGACACACTACAAGTAAAGTATGGGTTGATGATTCTGTAACTTCATCCAGGAGGGCCTTTCTAGATGGACTGTCCACCGGATTAAAAAATCCAGCAGGTAAATACGAGTAATAGACAACAATCGGATGTTTTTCAAACCTTGGGAACAAGGTTCTAAACATTAATTCCAGGGGGCAGATAAAACATATTACAAGTAACAAAACTTTTATAACTTTCGATAAAATGCGTGGATATTTTATTGTCATTTTCATTTGTTAGAACTTTTTTAAGCCATGTTTTTATGTGTTTTCGATATTTCAATAATTTTTTAATATAATCTTAAAATATGTCGAATATTATAAACTTAAAAAAAGTTACTAAGTTTTATATTGTGTACCGTTCCTAATATTTCTAATCATTTTAATTCATACTTTAAGCTTTATAAAGTTATAATTTGTTAATATTAATATTTGCGCGTATTTCAGGTTCCTGATCATTCATTTTTTAAAGGTTTATAACTTTAAATTAAATTGTGAAGCGCTGAGTAATCATACGACGTTCAATATTCTTTCTTTCAATATGACTAAATAATCCCAATTATAGCAATCTGATACTCATGTCTCAATGTGTTTTCGCTGAATGTGATGAAAACATTTGAAAAAGGTTCACTTATTGAAATAAATCTACACCAGTTAGTACTTCGATTTCCAGGTAAAGGGAAAAGGCTCATTATCTGCCATATTGGCAGTGAGGATGGATTTGTTGTTGACGGTCTGTGGTGCTTTGAGTCTAAGAAAACTGGAGATTACCTCGAGGAAATGAATGGCGAATCGTTTGAACAGTGGTTTTCAAAAATTTTACCGAACTTAGAGGAAAACGCAGTAATTGTGTTGGATAATGCGCCTTATCATTCTCGAAGAATGGAGAAGGTCCCAACAACGGCTTCAAGGAAAGTTGATGTTCAAAATTGGCTCCGCTCGAAAAATATCAACTTTGAAGAAGCAATGCTGAAAGTACAATTATTAAGAATTGTCAAGGATCACAAGGCGGAATATCAAAAATACGCCATTGACGAAATGGCAGCAAGTCAAAATAAAACTGTGCTCCGTTTACCTCCATATCATTGCGAGCTCAATCCCATTGTGCTCATATGGGCAGAGGTTAAAAATTATATAGCTAAGAACAATACAACTTTTAAATTTTGTGACCTCAAAGGACTTTTCAAAGAAGAAAGAAATTAATAACAGCGCAAAAATGGACAATATTTTAGAGGAACAAGTCGAGCCATTCATTATTGACGTTGGTGCTTCAGGCAGTAGCGATGATGAAAGCTCATCAAGTTCATCTTTCCAATAAAAGATGTCGTTCATCAAATTCGGTAAGTTATAAGTAATTATAAAGTTACTTAATTTTTAATTAATTATTGACATTTTTGAACCCATTTTGGCAAAACCTATTCAAGAATCTACTTTCTGACAATTTTCAACCATGCACATTTTTTTACGTTTTGAACGTTTTAATTTGGTTACATATTTACCTAGAAATCAAAAAATATACTAATCAATATTCTAAAAGCAATTTTAAGAGATATACGATTATTTTTAATTTAGGCTAATTTAAACGCCATTTTGAGATTATATTCGACTGTATTTCACTAAACATCAGGCGGCATCCGAAGCTGGAAATCGAAGCGAAAATTTTGAAACCCTTATGTATATTTACATCATTATATATTTCTTACCCCACCCCCACATGATCCTATATCCATCACCAATCGTATACACATCGAATTGTGCTAATTTACTACAAAGTTACGCAAAGCAGCATCAACTCTCTAAAATATGTACTGCGTGACCCTTAATACGTCTATGCCGAATGTTACAGCGTTCGATGATCACGTGGTCTTGTTCATGTCCGGTCTATCTCTTATCTGAATATACTGTAAACCCAATTGTTCAATAGACAATTCACATCTACGAATGATCGAACGTGGTATAGCATTATTCAAATAAGGACTTATTTCATCACATGCATTCCTGATTCTGTCTATTAGCATATCTCTTGTAGTTACGGGAGTCTGGTACACTTTTTCTTTTATAAATCCCCACACAAAGAAATCTAATGGATTTAGGTCAGGGGATCGTGTAGGCCAGGCGACTGGTCCTCCACGGCCGATCCATCTTTCTGGATGATTTTCGTCCAGCCAGTTTATAACTATTCTCGAATAATGAGCTGGACAACCATCAAGCAGCCTTTAAAAATTCCAAGAAGGTCGCAGCATTTAACCTTGCAGGCAAAAGGTAGGGTCCAAATAGTCGATTACGGTAGATACCAATCCACACGTTCACACTAAATTCATGCAACATTTCTTTCCCGAACTGCATGCGAATTTTCATGCGACCAAATATATTGATTATGAAAATTTACCTCTCCACGTCTAGTGAAGCATGACTCATCGGTCCATAAAACGTTACTTGAAAACTCCCTATTATTATCAGTTCTATCAAGAATCCACTGACAAAATGTGATTCTTCTTTCTCCGTCCCCTGGCTGTAGTCCTTGCACAGGTTGCAAATGGTAAGGACGTCTATGTTCATTTCTAAGAACACGGTGAACATGGCTTGCTGAAATTCCCAAGGCACCAGAAACTCTCCTAACACTTGTGGTCGGATCTCTATCAAACTCACGCAGAATCATACGGGTAAATCTGCACTGACGAACATTTATGTTTTGATCCCTTTGGAGATTTCCAAAACCATTTTCAATTATTTGGCGATGCACTCTTACAAATACTGAGCGAGTTGGATGTCGTCTGTTTGGAAATCTTCGTGCGTATTCTCTGGATGCTTCTGCTGCGTTTCCATTTACAAAGCCATACACAAAATGAATATCCACTAACTATTGAAAATGGCATTTTTATAAAACTTACAAAAAAAACAGGTAAAAGAAACTAAATTTCGTGCATTCACAATTGC